GGGGATCGGCGGTCACCTGAGATGCGGCCGGCGGTGGGGGTGGAGACGTGGGCTCCGCGTGCTCGTTGTCCTAGAGCATGGAGACGACGGAATGGACGGCTTTAGGTCGGCCTGGGCGATGGAAGGGAGGGTCGGGGATGGAGGGGGGCTATGTAGAGAAGGGGGGCAAAAGGATTGGACAGGAGAGTCGAGGAAAGTCAGCGATGACAACACCACCACTGGTCGATTCACGCACGCAAGTGATCCAAATATCCTGCCGAAAGGCACCTAAATTGTTTTGGTGAACGATGCTGAGAAGGATGCCAAGAGAAAATATCGCACAAAATCATACTCCTTCATTTTGTTATACAAGGTCATTTCATTTTCGTGTGAAACTTTAACTTATAATTTTGATCAATTAAAAACGTGTCTAGATATATCTGTGAATCTAAGAAAGTAATTCCGAATGAATGGAGTAGGTTATATGTCATAAAATATACTCCCTCCGTCCGAAAATACTTGTCATAAAAATGGATAAAAAAATGTATGTAAAACTAAAATACGTCTAGATGCATCCCTGTTTATTCATTTTGACAACAAGTATTTCAGGAAGGGGGGAGTATATCATCAAAAAGTTTTTTGAAATGTGCATTCAGTGACATACAACTCACATTTTATTGATGGAATTAATAGCTAAACATAAAAATATAAAAGTGACCTTGTATACAAATATGGAGGGAGTATATTCTAAGATGAACCTCCTAATCTACTTATCTTAACATGAAAACATGTACATCAACATGTAACCATGCATGAAAATATGTGAAAAGTATTCACCTTAAAGTGCAACCATAATAAGTGGAAATAGTTATCATTCTATTATGCTATTTGTATTTAATAAAAAATTTACAACTACAAAACAATCAAATATGATAATCATATGTATTCTTATTTTTAATTCAAATATGCAACCAAATATTACTGAAATACTAATGGAGACGATTATAACCTTATGGCCACATTTTTTCAAAACAAATCATATAAACACGTGTTTTCAGGTAGTTTGCTGCATCTCAACCAAACACAACATGTAGAAACTTATACGATGCTTTACCTTGCAATTGCTCGCGTGGCATATAGAGGTAAAGGAAGTCTGGCAGACGTGAAATATGTTGGTTGAGCAACGGGAGAATAGTAGCATTAGCATTATTGATAAATATTGCTATCAACAACAAAAAGTACTAAGACCATATACAACGCAAAGATGCCTAGAGAGGAGCTTGTAAAAATAAACCTTTTCTCTCAAGCAACGGTGCTTGTTTCTATGGTAGAAGTACCTAAGTAAGCTTATGTGTTATGAAATAAGCACTGATGTTAAAGAAAGAACAATAAACAAACACTTCTCCGATATCACACTCGAGAAGGAATTATACAAATAAGTTGCCATGTTTTTTGTTTTCATCACTATCTTTGACGGACAAAATTGTTGGCGCCTAGCTATGAAGAGGGTGAAATAAATTAAAGTAAAGCATACCACAGTGCATGATTTTGGCACCGATGTACACTTTGATACATCAGCTTGCGATAGCAACATCGGAGGACCATAGCTTCGAAGTAGCTAGTAGTTTAGTCCAAATTAGTCTACACGATGAAAAGATGATACGTAGGCACTAACATGGGCACATAGATATTTTCTATGGATAATATGCAAAGCATTTCTAATTATTCCGTTTTAGCCCATTCCACATTTTATTCACATATGCACCCAAATTCTCCCTCCAATTCCTAGCTAGCTTATATCTCATCCTTGACATGTAGTCACTGACATCACGATCCATACTCCTCGTAGACAATGTGTGTGCCCAACTTGTTGTCGCTTCATTTATTCCTTTCTCGCCATTCCCTCCCCCCCCCATCTCTATATCTCTCTAATGCACTTCACCCTGTGGCAGAGACAAGAAGCAAACATTGTCTCACATGGTGCGGGTGAATTTGCGCTTCATGCAGGTGGAGGTTGTGAGGGTGTACACCTTGAATACAAAGGACAAAATTTAAAAGATTTATACATATGAGTGGTACGTAAACTCGATCAAACTTTAGGGTTTTCCATTCATTGTTTCGTCGTGAGATAGATACATGGGACTTTATCTTAGTTTTGTGGAAGAATCCTACACAATTAACTCCTTAACCACCATTTTATTTGGCATTTTTCTCTAAAATAAATTTGCTTTGCAATTGTGTGCCCATTTTAAGTGTTCACTAAATAACTGCTTGACATGTAGTCAAGGTTGAATTTGAACCTTCAAGGGCGGCCTTATTCGCACTATGCCTCCGCTCTAGATCTCTCATTCATACTCTTCATAAACCGCACCATGTTCCCGGTGCCATGCTCTATGAGATATTCTCTTACTTCCATAGTTGAGGAGAAGACCAGAAGAACAACTAATTAGCTCCTTCTATTTTTATCTCCCAATGCATGCTCTTCTTCTCCTTTGTTTTCACCATCTCTAGTTCTGGTTTTATGTTGTTTGCTTGTGCAATGACAAGGTATCAAAGGTGTTGTCTACTGATGACCCACAAGTATAGGGGATCTATCGTAGTCCTTTCGATAAGTAAGAGTGTCGAACCCAACGAGGAGCAGAAGAAAATGACAAACAGTTTTCAGTAAGATATTCTCTACAAGCACTGAAACAAAAGTAAACAAGGTGCTGCAAGGTTGCCCAATCCTTTTTGTAGCAAAGGACAATCCTGGACAAACCCTTATATAAAGGAAAGCGCTCCCGAGGACAAATGGGAATTATCAAGCTAGTTTTCATCATGCTCATATGATTCGCGTTCGCTACTTTGGTAATTTGATATATGGGTGGACCGTGTTGGAAATATGCCCTAGAGGCAATAATAAAAGTGTTATTATTATATTTCTTTGTTCATGATAATAGTCTTTTATTCATGCTATAACTGTATTATCCGGAAATCGTAATACACGTGTGAATACATAGACCACAATATGTCCCTAGTGAGCCTCTAGTTGACTAGCTCGTTGTGATCAACAGATAGTCATGGTTTCCTGGCTATGGACATTGGATGTCGTTGATAACGGGATCACATCATTAGGAGAATGATGTGATGGACAAGACCCAATCACAAGCCTAGCACAAAGATCGTGTAGTTCGTATGCTAAAGCTTTTCTAATGTCAAGTATCTTTTCCTTAGACCATGAGATTGTGCAACTCCCGGATACCGTAGGAATGCTTTGGGTGTACCAAACGTCACAACGTAACTGGGTGGCTATAAAGGTGCATTACAGGTATCTCCGAAAGTGTCTGTTGGGTTGGCACGAATCGAGACTGGGATTTCTCACCCCGTGTAAACGGAGAGGTATCTCTGGGCCCACTCGGTAGGACATCATCAGAATGTGCACAATGTGACCAAGGGGGTGATCACGGGATGATGTGTTACGGAACGAGTAAAGAGACTTGCCGGTAACGAGATTGAACAAGGTATCGGTATACCGACGATCGAATCTCGGGCAAGTAAAATACCGCTAGACAAAGGGAATTGTATACGGGATCGATTGAGTCCTTGACATCGTGGTTCATCCGATGAGATCATCGTGGAACATGTGGGAGACAACATGGGTATCCAGATCCCGCTGTTGGTTATTGACCGGAGAACGTCTCGGTCATGTCTGCATGTCTCCCGAACCCGTAGGGTCTACACACTTAAGGTTCGATGACGCTAGGGTTATAAAGGAAGTTTGTATGTGGTTACCGAATGTTGTTCGGAGTCACGGATGAGATCCCGGACGTCACGAGGAGTTCCGGAATGGTCCGGAGGTAAAGATTTATATATGGAAAGTTGTTGTTCGGGTTCCGGAAAAAGTTCAGGTTTTTTCGGTATTGTACCGGGAAGCTTCCAGAAGGTTCCGGAGGATTCCGGAGGGGTCTGGAGGTCCGGAAATTGTTCCACCACGTCCAATACAGTAGCATGGGCTGTAAGGGGGCGCCCTAGCCTTTATGGGCCAAGGGAACCAGCCCCCCAAGGCCCATGCGCATGGGAAGGGGGAAACCCTAAAGGGGGAGGCCTCCACTTGACTTGGGAGGCACTCCTCCCCCCTTGGCCGCACCCCTTGGGGTGGGAAACCCTAAAGGGGGTGCAGCCCCCCCCCTTCCCCCTATATATAGTTGAGGTTTGGGGCTGCTAAACACATGAGAACTTCTCCCTCTTGGTGCAGCCCTGCCTCTCCTCCTCCTCCTCTCCCACGGTGCTTGGCGAAGCCCTGCTGGATTGCCACGCTCCTCCACCACCACCACGCCGTTGTGCTGCTGTT